CTGCCTCTGCGTTCCGAGCCTGGGACTTTACGGGACCAGCAGCCTCGTCTTCCTCCTGCTGAGAGGCAAGTGGTTTCCAACCACTGGCTTCACCCCTCGCAGCCATCGCCAAGCCAGGACACCCCAAGGTCCCTAGAATGTGACGGGGAAGGAGGTGGCACTCTACAAAGGAGCGGCCTTGCTGGGCTTTTCAGGTGCCGTCAAGGGGGCTCCAACTGAGAGCGCCCCAAAACGTCTGCAGAAATCTTTCATCATCTTTTATTTCCTACCTGCGCCCCCCACGCCCCAATCCAAAGACAGTCTGGTCCAGTCCGGTGCCACCCTCACAAAAGCTTGGGCAGTCGCAGGGATGCTTATTTCTTCGGGTTCGTTTGGGGGAGTCTTCAGGAAACCTTTGGGTACAAATTCAGTGTCTGCGTGGAAGGAGAAAAACCACTAAGTAAAAAGAGAAAGGCTTTCAGTGAGTTATTAAAATGGAAAAAATAATGATTTGGCATTGCAAGCAGTATGTTTAAGTTATTTGGAGAAGTCATTTCCGTGGAAGACCTCATTTCCAGACAAGGCCAGATAAATAAGCTGCTGCGTTGTGTGTGGGGCTAGACTGCTCCCAGATCTGTCCGTCTGTCATCAACCTGGAAGCACGCATCGTGTTAGGAGATGAGAAAAGAGGTTTTCTCTGGGCTCGGCGATTGACAGACAGACTGAGATAACGGTCTTTGTGTTGCATGCTGTGCGTGCTGTTCATGGCTCATGCATGGCTTTCAGAACATTACAAAAGGAAAATGCTAGAGCTGAAAAGAAAGATTCTTGGCCATTTTTAATAATATGCATGGCTTGGAGTAGTTAATTTGTACTACTCTTAAGAAGGTCTATTTTTCTCCTTTTAAAAAATAGCTATTTATAAAGGTGACAACGCCGAGTTAGGGGTATTTTCATTGTTTCACGTTGGGTGAGAGGTTCAGAACTCGTCCAGGTTGATTGGGTAGACTTTGAGGTGGGGTAGGTGCATCAGACCTCATGATGCAGTGTTCATACGGGAGACAGATCTACCAGCTGAGCTACATAATTCCCAGAGCCCATCACTCCTGGCGAAAATTCTCCTCAGTGACTGGCCATATTTTCTTTTTCATGACTCTGCACAGAAAGACTAATCCCTTTCTGCCCAAGGACTGAACATTGCTCATCACAGGTAATTGTTCTGAATCTAATCTACATATATCCTCGTGCAGCGTTCCTAAACGCGAAGCTGAGAACATTTCGTGCTCAGCTGCAGGTGGTGGTGGTGGTGGGGGTTCGGCCTTGGGCTTCCACCCATAAAACCAGCAATTCCAGCTCCCTATCCACTCAGCTGGAGAAAGAATGAGGCTGTCTGGTCCCATAAAGATTTACATTCTCGGAAACCCGGATTAGGGCCTTTACGAATTGCAATCAACTGGACAGCAGGGAGCTTCAGTGAAATAAGAATACATTGGATTTTCTTAAATTCAACCTTCACAATGAAACTAAGGGGCATCCTTTTCTTCTGAGATTATGATGATATAATTGTTTTAAGTATCTCGTTTTGTTAAATAAAAATTGCTCAAACCTATGTTTCTATCTCTAACATTTCTGCACATTTTACTTGTCAATCAACACAAGCCTGGTCATCTTTGTGAACATAGGATGTGGTCAGCCTCTCTTTCTGCAGAGATATTGGTAACTTTTAATCTAATATTTGAAGTTGTTGAGCCATTAAGCCACTCACCATGGAGCCCTAGTAGTGCAGGAGGTAAGCGTTTTTGAACCAAAAGGTTAGAAGTTTAAGGCCACCAGTTGCTCCTTGGGAGAGCGAGGTAACAGTCTGCTTCATTGAAGACTGACCACCGTGGAGGCCATATGGTGCTGACTCCCCAGGGACAGGTGAGATGACGTATAAATAGATGGAGAGCTACTCTTTAGTGGCTAGGGGCTTGATGGCAAAGTTAACATTTCACCAGTTTGTTTCTGTAAGTGGGAATTCGCTCTGATGCGGTACAAGTAGGTTCAGTTGTGGAGGATCTTGCAGTCAGGGAACACGATTCAGTCCTGCCTAATGTGTCTTGCGGTGTTATGGACATGTGTGTTCGAAGTGTCCCGTTGTGGACTAGAGAGCCATCTGGCTCCTTCCCTGCATTCAGCCAGCAGCACAGAATTGACAGAGGTCAGGAGGTGCTGACGGATGGAGGTCCCCCTCTGGGTTAAGTAGACTACGAATTAAAAATGCTTTTTAAAAAAATAAGACATCTAACTTTTAATCTCTTGGAAATTCAGACAACGCTCTCTGTAGTAGAGTGTGCCTGAATGTGAACGTTCTTCTGCAGTTCAAGTGCTGTGGAGTCGTGTATTTCACCGATTGGTTGGAAATGACAGAGATGGACTGGCCTCCAGATTCCTGCTGTGTCAGGGAGTTCCCAGGATGTTCCAAACAAGCCCACCAGGAAGATCTCAGTGACCTGTATCAGGAGGTAAGACCAATCACTGATGTTGTTTCTTCTGACAACTTTTAAGAGTCCACACAATGTCACTCAAATTTGTCCTTTCCTCTCTAAATCGAAAGGCCCATAAAGGTTTGCTCTAGTAGTAGGTGATGAAATAGGACAAAGCCAAACACCCATATAGAAACCTGAACAGTTGTTGTGGGAGGGAAAAAAATCCCTATGGAAAATCAAATTGCATTTTAACACAGGAAAGTGGTAAGGACCGTGGTTTTGGATGGAACAGATCTTAATTTAGATTTTAAGCTGTATTATCTAGAGCCAAATTCTGTGGCTACTTCCTTTGCAAACAGACACACGCAGAGTATGTAGCTCACCCTGGGTTCTCAGGAAGACGCGGTTTGTAGTTTCTGGGCAGTCATGTGTGTGTTAGGGCCTCGGAGACCTAACTTCAAACAGTTGTGCAAAAAACAACAAAAGCATCTCCGGAGAAAATGCTGCTGTGTCACGCTTCGGTTCCCCCTGCTGGCTAATGATTAGTGATGCTTGTTTTAAGGAGCTGATTTAATGAAGTTTTATACTCAGTGGATTAAAATCAATCCTCAAGTGCCCAGTGAAGCTTTTCTGGGGAAAATGGAATCTTGGCTAGTGCTTGCGGTCGCGATGGTCAACTGCAAATGCACCAGCCACAATCACGTTGACAGTTCGGTTGTGAGAGGTAGATTTTACGTGTAGTTTCGATAAGACTTCACTGCATAAAATAGAAAACTACTTAATATTTCTACGATAAGAATAAGTGGAAACATATTTGTAGCTATGCAAACATATTATAATTTATCACTATGTGTTTAAAGAACAGCTCATCACTGTAGAGTAAGTGTAGACATGTGACTTGAGATGCATCCACTTTCCTAGGGTAAACAGTCCATTTGTTGGTTTTAGCAAGAATGAGTTCCTGGTAGCTCAGAGGTTAAATGCTAAACTATTAACGGAAATGTAGTAGGTTCCCACCATCTAGTGGTTCTGCAGTAGGAGGACTTGATACTTTGCACCTGGAAAGCTTGCTGTCATTGTTGTTTGTGGTTAAGTGTGTTCTGACTCACAGCAACCTTACAGACACAGGAGAACTGCCTCAAAGGGTTTCTTAGGCTTCCAAGAAAATCCTATGTCTCCTAGCGTTGCCATGAATTGAAACCAGCTTGGGGGCATCTAATGACAACAGCAGTGGTGATTACTAGAAAGGCTGAAGTACACCACCATTTCAAATAGCTTCTGCTTCTTCAGGGGTTGATATGATTACAACCAATATTTCACGAAGTGGCAAAATATGAACTGATTTTCAGATTTCCCCCAAAGTCTGAATCTGGACAGATGCCCTTCAGTTTGACTAGGTTGTTGTTAGATGCTATCGAGTCAGTTTTAAGAACAAGAGAAGGAAACACAGCTAGGCCCGAGGCCACTATCAAATTCATTGCTATATTTGATCCCACTGTTGCAGTCACTAGGTACATCCATCTCATTCGGGGTCTTCCCCTTGTTAGTTGGATCCTCTACTTTACCAAGCATGATTTCCTTCTCCAAGCATTGGTCTCCCCTGACAACATGCTCAAAGTATGTGAGATGAAATCGTTGCTCATCTCATCCCGCCTTCGAAGGAGCCTTCTGTTTACAAGGCAGATCGATTCATTCTTCTGAAAGTCCATGGTATATGCAGTCTTCTTTGCCAACACCACAATTCAAAGGCATCCATTCTTCTCTGTCCTTCCTTAATTCGGTGTCCAGCTAGCACATGCATAGGAGGGGAATGAGATACCATGGCTTGGGTAAGGCTCACCATAGTCCTTAAAGTATCACCTGTGGTTTTTTCACACTTCAAAGGGATTTTTCTGGAGCAGGTTTTCCCAGTGCAACACATCACTTACTTTCTTGATTGCCGCGTCTATGGGCATGGAGAGTGCATCCAAGTATTTCAGGTCTTCTTCCCTTTCAGCAAATGAGGTTGTGTCATCTGCATATTGTAGGTTGTTAATGAGTCCTCCACCAATCTTGATGCCTTGTCCTTTGAGGAGTCCACATTCTTGAATTGCTTTCTCAGCATACAGGTGACCACTGCATTGGGTGTCTGGACATGCTCTTCATGAGCACAGCTAAGTGTTTTGGCATTCCCACTCTTCCCGAGGTGATCCGTAGTTGCTTATGGCCCACACAGGCAATCGAATGCCTTGACATAGTCGGTGGAACAGGCAAACATCTTTCTGCTCGTCTCTGCTTTTACTCAAGAGTCACCTGACAAAAGCAACGATATCCCTCATTCCAAGTCCTTTTTGGAATCCAGCCTGAGTTTCTGGTAGTTCCCTCTCTTCATTTGAGTTGAAATGTTTTAACAAAACTTTCTTGTAAAAAATATAATTTTCTTTTACTGGTGTGGCTTAGGCATGTTCAGTTGGTCATGTTTCTCATGCACTAATAACATTTTATAATGGGATATTTTGCTTTCATCGGTCTTACTATATTTTGGTTCCATAAATGGTCAAATGGAAAGGAACCACACTATTGTGCCTATGAAAACTGATGGTCCAAAGCATCCTTAAAATATTTTGTGTATTCATCCAGAGTATTTTTATCTTCAGTTATAAGCTGGCATTGTCAGTTCTGAGCTACTCTTTAGACACAGAATTCTGGTAAGATATGGATTAATTATATCAAATAAATCTGCTTCTGCATTTTACAATTAATAACAGATGCTGGTATTGGTAATGATATAATGCATAATTATATGCATAGTTGATTTGCAAATGTGGATCATTTAGTTGCTTCATGGGACATGTACAATTAAAGTCATAATTAAAAATAAGACTTAATTCCACTTTTCCCTGGAGAACATATGTTTCCTAATTGCACTGTGTCCAGAGATCATCCACTAGGAAGATGAGAGTTCTTGAAGGAGAGACAAGTGAGCAATCACTGTAGGTATTTGGGATATTTATTCTGAAGTAGAGGAAACTAAGAGGGAATATTTTAGATGTCTGTAAGCATTTGGAAGTTCATAAATTCAGCACAGGAACTAGAGTTATTCTTTGTTGCTCCGAGGGCCAGAAGTTACAGGAAGGAAATTTTGAATCAATAGAAGGAAAACCTTGCTCATCAAAATCTGTCCAATTGTGAGACAGGTTGTGCTGTAAAATAATGTGTGTCTCATCACTAAAAATATTAAAGTCAAGGTCAGATAACCATGTCATTGCTGGTGTAGAATGGGTTTTTAAATTAAAAACGAATCTGGACTAGATGAACTTCAAGGTCCCCTTTATCTTTTATACTCTGTAATCTCTGAGATAAGAATTGGCTTTCTCTTGCACGCTGCAATCAAGGAGATAAATCATTCTCTACCTTCTGGTGGCCCACATGGTCGTTGGCCCAGTAATTTTTTATGGCACATTTTGAAACCTGTGAAAAACAACAGCAGAAATATAGCAACAATTGCACATTTTAGAAAAAGTCCCATCAGAGATATTGTTAGAATTGGCACAGAGCTTCTCAGAATATCTGTAATAAGTTACATACTTGGATCAAAGTACAGGCTTCGAACTTAGAGGAAAAAACTATCTCTGGCCCCCAGTCTGGCCCCCTCACAGTCATTCATTCAAAGTGTTGCTGCTGAGTGCCTACTGATTTCCTGGTGCTGTTCTAGATGCTGGAGATGCCATGAAACCATTGCACATAAAACCACTCTTCTCACGTCTCTTATCCTAGTTAAGGATACAGACTTTCATCAGGAAACTTGCAGTAATCAACATTAAACCTTTTGATTTTTAATTGTAGGTACTGGTTAGTACCTTGGAGATGTTGAGCAAATGGGGAGATTGGCTTTGATGGAGAGGAAGATACTGAGGATGGTTAGGAATAAATAGCTTCTCATATGGTTAGGAACCCTGGTGCTTAGGTTACATATTGAGCTGCGATCTACAAGTTCAGCAGTTTGAAACCACCAACTGCTCCATGGGAGAAAGATGGGGCTTTCTACTCCCTTAAAGAGTTACACTCTTGATAACTCACTGGGCCAGTTTGTCCAAGACTCTAAAGTGTTGAAGAGAAAGGATGCTACTTTGAGGACCGGGATGTGCCTGACCCATGCTGTGGTGTTTTCAATCGCCTCATGTGCATCTGAAAGTTGGACATTGAATAAGAAAAATGTGTTTGGATCAGGGTGCTGGCAAAGAATATTGACAGTACCGTGGCCTGCCGAAAAAACCATGTCCTAGAAGAAATACAGTCAGAATACTCCTTAGAAGCATGGATTGGCAAGACTCCTCACATATTTTGGACATGTTATCAGGAGAGACCAGTCCCTGGAGAAGGTCCACAGTGTAAAAGAGGAAGACCCTTGATGAGGTGGATTGATAACAGTGACTGCAACAAAGAGCTCAAGCTTAACCACAGTCGTGGGGACGACCCAGCACCGGGCAGTGTTTCTGTCAGTTAGAACAGATTCCATCCCACCTTCGCAAGAACAGAACTGCAGAGTCAATCACTAGGACTCTTCCTAGCCTGTCTTAGTCTGGAAGCTCCGCCAAATCCCGCCTGACTTGAGAGACACGACTGGTACTTGAGATACTGGCCGCAGAGCTTGCGCCAGCGTGACAGCTTGCAGGTCACTGTAGTCCACCAGACCGGCAGAGAGGTGCCGGTCAACTCGAGCAGGCGATCTGTAATCAGCCTTGTTTCAGACTCAGCTACTTTTGCCGAGGTAGAAGGTAGAACACTGATGGGGCCCCCTCGTGGGGGTTTCTAGAGCCTCTGAGCAATCGTAAGCGATAAGTAAGTGCTGACCTGAGTGGTGTGAGGTGCAACAGGACATTCCTAGCAAAGAAGCAATGGTGCAGACTTAGCATTGGACGCGTGAGAGCCCACAGGATGTGAGGAGGGGTGTTGACGGAACAGGGAAGGGCAGGGCTGGTCCCAGGAAGATCCTTGCCTGCCCTGCTTAAGTGAATGGATTTATCCTGACACCCGTGAGTCATTGACAGCTAAAAAGGCAAACATTATTATGAAAGGTAGGTTTATTAAGGTAGAGTAGACTAGGGATTCTGATTTATTAATAGCGGAACACCCTCAGATGATCACACACTGAGCCCTCTGCCCGGCAAGTAAACAGTAGGTAGTACTTGGCCACAGTGGTTATTTGGACGGCATCGCCCCAAGAAGGTCTGTTCACAGGGTTCTTGTCTGTCAAGTCAAAGGCATCCTTTCCCGTCTCATGTCTTGCTTCATTATCTCCTCAACAACCACTGGCACATCAAGTAACCCGACTTGGGGTGATATCTGCTTTCTCATTCAAAGCTCTGCTGGACCTGTTTGGGCTTGGTTTCGGGTGGGTGGGTGGGGGTTCCTTTTATCTTCAAGCTTGGCTTGATCTAGTCAAGGCCTTGTACCTTTCTTGCCTGCGGTGCTCCAGGGATATTGCTCTCTGCCTTGGTGTTGGGCAACCGTGAGTTCCTCCTTGCCTGTTCACTGTTCAAACACCATTTCCTCTGGTGCTTTATAGATAGAGAGTCTACTTTTAGAATCTGCTGCTTTCAAAGCCCTGGTAATATTTTAGCCCGAGAGAGTCACTCACCAAGTAACACTAGGAGATTTGAGTTTAAGGAAGAGCCCAAACTAAAGCAAATTGACTGAAAGTAAATGCTGGTTTGCTTTTTGTTTTAAATATCAGATGCTTAGGAGCAAGTGTTGTACATGCAGTATCTCATTAAATGGAGCCCTGTTGCATCAGCCAGTTGCACATTGGACGGCAAACCAAAAAACTGGGTCAGCAGTTCAAAATCGCCACTCTCTCCAGTAGAAAGGTGAAGCTTTCTATCCCCATAAAGTTTCGGAAATCAACGGGAGGTTCCACTCTGTGCTATGGGAGTTGGCTCAATGGCCTTGAGTTGGGTTTTGTTGTAGTGACCTCATTCATAAAAGGTCCTCGGTGGGACAGTGGGTGAAGCATTAGGCTGCTATTGAAAGGTCAGCAGTTTGAACCCCCGGAGCCTCTCCCTAAGAGAAGGCATTCAGTTGATTGCAGCTCGTAGAGACCCTAATTGGGGTTTCTGAGAATGTGCATCTTTATGAGACCAGGAAAAGGTTGACCTCCTTCAGACCTGAAAGCATGTCCCTGAAGAAGGGACAGTATGGTTGTCTCTTGTACAGGTGTGACAAGAAAGACGTCAGGAGGTTTAGTGCCTTGCCCAGAGTCACCGTGCTCTAGACGTACCCTTGTTGAGCTGCGGCTGAGAAGAAAGCTGAGTATCTGCCAAGGTTTAGCTCTTCTAAACTTCAATATTTTTATCTGTTAAAATAATAATAGCGGCCTTCCCCGGGAGTGCAAGCAGCTAAGTGCTCAGTCATACCCACCCAGAGGCTCCGCGGGAGCCGAGCGCCTAGTCAGCCCCAGGGGGCAGCTCTTCTCTGCCACGTGGAGTCTCTGTGAGTCTCATAGACTCAGCGACCACCAGCACCAGCCCTCCACTGTAGTTTCAAGGATAAATCGAGGCGCTGCCTAAGAAGCCGTCAGGACACCTGGCCCACATTAAACGCCAACTTTGATGAACAATGCCTGCTAATGACAATAAGGGCAATGACAACAGCAATTTGCCCAGGCATTTAATAAAGTAAATAAGTAAAGTAGCAATCCGTGATTTAATTTCAAATCAGCTCAGTTGTCTCTTCTTTTGCCGGTGATGAGAGAGGAGGGTGTGGCTTCACATTGTAAGTCCTTGTTCTTGCTGAAGGCAGGTGTTTCCGGTCTTGGGTTCAAGGAGTGGGTCCGGTGTCTCCCCCTGCTTGCTTTTTACGCCCTTCACCTTGCTAGAGGGAGCCCTGGTGGTTGGTCCGAGACCAGCAGCCCCAGAAGAAAGACGAGGCTTTCTACTCCCACGAAGAGTTACCGTCTCAGAGCCCACGAGGACAGTTCTCCCCCTACTCACAGGGTCGCTGTACGTTGGAATCGCCTCGATGGCGGTGACTTTGGTTTCTGGCCAGACATTCAGGAAACAGCCCAACTAGAGCAGATGCTCAGAGGAGAACCTGTGGCTAGTTTCCTCACTTGGGCAGGGAAAGCAGGCTTCTGCTGAGCTGGGCTGGCACCCAATGAAAAGTGATCAGCAAGTCCAGTCTTTTAATTGTGGTCACTTGGTAGCACTGGGGGCTAGGCATTGGGCTTCTAATTGCAAGGCCAGAGGTTCAAACTCACCTTGGGGACTGTCTAATCCTGTCAAGATTTATACTCTTGGAAACCTACTTAGGGTCCAGTGAGCTGGATGCCCTCGAGGGCTTCACGTGAATACACAATATTCCAATGAGAATCTTGTGAAGACTGAGTAAAACATTGGAGAACTGCCACACTGTAGCAATATGATGACTTTTTCTCCTGCATTTCCTGTGCGTGGGTTTAGCTAAAGCTGCTCTTAGAGAGGAGAGCATCCTCCATTGAATTTTACTGCTTGCTGTGTAATTATTATTATGGTGTTTTTCGGAAGCACTTATTTCCCTGCAGAGCTTTATGTTATCAGTGGAGAACTTTTGGGTCGTCCTCATGAACTGCTATCATCAGTCCTTTCCTCTCTTCTAGAAAGAACAGGGCTGAAGAGGATGCATTTGTCCCTGATGATTAGCACAGCACTCTCTAACTGGAGAGGCAGGTTTATTACAGAAATCCCGTACAACAATTACAACAGTGTCAACCCTGGAGTTGTCGGCACCTTGACTTTATTTATCTTTTACATTGCTAGCGCGTGAAAAGGTTGCTTCATTCTTTGACACGGAGAGTGAATCCGGAGCACTGAGGAACCGTGCGGTGCTCCCAGTGAGAGAGGCGCCTTTGGGCGAGAGATCAGAGAATGATTTCAAAGTATGTAATTTCCACCAGTGAAATGAGGCATCCTGACAAGCCTTCAAATAGTTCCCCGGAAATGCCGGGCTTCGTGCCTTTGCTCTGATGGGGAGGTCGCGTTACTATTTACAGCGAAGAGTTGACCAAGCATTTCCTACCTCCGCGAGGAAAGTAGGGTAGCCAGGTTGTCTTCTGTGGGCCTTTGAATGATCTGAGATGATTAGCACAGGTGCCGATGACCGTGTTTCCGTCGAAAACCTCCTCTAGGAAAACCGCCTCAGAGTATTCATTTGACTTTGAGACAAGTACAGGAGTCTGATGCAGCTCTTTCTCTTCTGCGGGAAAGAACCTTTGCGAACTGGGATGCAGTTCTGAGCTTTGAATGCTTCCTGGTCCTCATTGAATCAGTGCCACAGAAATGCTTGCTTATGCCACCCCCAATCTAAGGAGAGAGTCCAGTAGGCCATACAGAAATCCACCTACACTTTTAGTCTTGGTCTTGTTTTTTTGGCCTTAGCATCTTGATGCTCAGGAAGAGCGTCCACGTTTCATTGGAAAGTACAAACCATTATGCAGGATTCATTCCAGAGACTCACTGCCATTCATCGGGTTCGCCTAGTGACCTGATGGGACAGGGTAGAATCACCCCTGCGGGTTTCTGACACTAACTCTGTCAAGAGCAAACCAAACTAAACTTGCTACCACTGAGTCCAGGCTGACTCATCGCAGTCCTCTGTGCGTGTGCAAGATCGTCCCTGGTGACGGGAGAATAGAGCCCAGGCGTTCTCCTGCGGAGCTGCTGCTGGTACACGGGCTGACTTTGCCCTTGCTGCCCGACGTATAACCAGAACTTCCCCGCGTGATGGATTAGGCTGGCCCCAAATAAAGGCAAGGCTGCTGCTCAGAAGCCTGGAATTGCTGCTAAGAAGAATTTAAGAGGATTTGAGGAGATTTGTCTCCTTGTGAAGAAGAATATTCTTTTGGAAAGTTAACCCTTAAACCGAAGCACTCGATATTCCATTACGTTTCAGTGACGCATTTTCTGTCAGGAGATCACCAGGTGTTTCCTCTGTGGGCCTCTGGGTGGGCTAGACGGGGGTGTGTGTGTGCAAACTTTTGAGATGGAAGAGCCAGTCCTGTCCCTCACAACAATTTAGAAACTATTTGAGAGCCAGAAGTGTGTTTTCACAAACAAATTAAGTCACCGTTTTCTGAATAATATCCTTTAGGTTTTTTTTTTCTTCTCAATTTTACTTCAGAGGCCCATGTATGTACCAAAAGCTGGCTCACCGGCCCGCAGTTTGCCGATCCCTGGACTAGACTGGCCCCCCTTTTGAGTAACAGCTGAGCATGTAAACTGCGCCAGCTCAGGAAGAGATTCCTAATTCCTGTTTTATAGCGGTGGTTCCCCACTTCGGTCGCAGGGAACACTGAGAAGGACTGTTGCACATCGAGTTGTGTCTCGGCTCATCGTGGCACCAAAGGACGGCGTAGCCTTGCCGCAGTGAGCTTCCTAGGGTGATAATCTCCATCAGAGCGCGTAACCAGGTCTGTTCTCCCGCGGAGTGGCTGGCGGGTTTGACCTGCTGGCCTTTTGGTTGGAAGCCGAGTGTTTAACCATTGTGCCACCAGGAGGAAAAAGCTCGCAGTGAGCATCCAGACGGGCTCTGGCAAAGGTGCACACTGCCATCGTCCCTCCAGCTGCCTATAGGTGTGGCCTGTGGCGAATCACTGCCTTAAACATCATCAGTCAAGTCACTTGATTCCATGAACTGATACAGAGTGTTTATTTTCAGCAACTAATTTTGGCTCTTTGTCATGCATCCAAACTAAGACTGTGTTATTTCTTTTACAGGGTTGTGGGAAGAAAATGTACTCCTTTCTGAGAGGAACCAGACAGCTGCAGGTGCTAAGGTTTCTGGGAATCTCCATTGGTGTCACGCAGATCCTGGCCATGATCCTCACCATTACTCTGCTCTGGGCCCTGTACTATGATAGAAGGGAGCCTGGGACGGAGCAGATGATGTCCTTGAAGAATGACACCTCCCAGCACTTGGCGTGTCACTCGGTGGAGCTGTTAAAACCCAGCCTGTCCAGGATATTTGAACACACGTCCATGGGGAACAGCTTCAACGCACACTTTGAGATGGAGGAGTTGTAGAGAACGCCAAGGAAGGAGCCCATGCGATTGTTTCGTTGGACTCGCGAATTTTCAAGCATGCCCTACGGTGCTTCAGAAAGGTGTAGGGATGGAAATGTTGACATGAAAGAGTGATCAGGCATGTAGTTGTCTGCCCTTGAAGTGAAGGAGGGAGACGTTTCATATGATAGGTCACCAGCCTGGAGCACAGTACCCTGGAGTAGCTTTTATGATGCCGAGGAAAGATCCAGTACTCACCGCATAGCCTTTGTAAGACTTCTGTTCCTGAACACAGTGATAGCTGGATGTGGCGTGACTCGGCCGGTGTTTGTGCATATGTGAAAGCGGGCCCTGCTGCCTGGTGGGACCGGAGCTACCGCAAAGTGATTTACTTCCAGCAGCTCGTTGGTCTGTAAAGTACCAATTCATTGCTGACACAGGAAGTTGGACATTACTGATGACTCATATTATTTGGTGATAGTCTTTGGCCGGTGAGTTCTGTATATCTAAGAATTGGCAACTACCTAACCGTGATTTGTTTTTTCCTGGTTACTACGTATTCATACCACTTAAAAGAGATACTAACACTGTCTTAAGCAGATCAGGGATCTTTGTGTATATGAGTCTATGTGAAGACATATCATTCAAGAGATTTCATTACTAATAAATATTACGAATAACAATTGGGGAAAGCATACTTTTGTCCTGTATAACACGTTTTTTGCCTTTCCTCTTAAAAGAGCTGTAAAAATCTGTCTTGGATGTACACTGCATAGGTAACTGGTAGTTTAAATACTTAACCACTGATTTTGAAAAATAATGGCGTGACAAGTAGGGAAACAGTGAGCAGTGTGCTAATTTATCAGCGTGATAAATGATTGTTCACAACAGAGCATGGTCTCCAGGAAGTCGGAAAGAAGCCCTTTACATGTTGCTTCATTCTGGATCGACTGCAGTGCTGCTGTTTGCTTCTCTTTAAGACGGAGGCCCTTTAGGACACGACATGTTTCTTAAAGGAAGTGACCTTTGCCTTTCCACCCAAGGAGAGGCTCCCAGCCGGAATTTAATTCTGCAGAGCGCAGTATTCCTGTTCCTAGCAAGAAGCTTGGAGAATCCTTCAAATCCACGACCCTTTAGCTAGCGATTGTTTTTGCTTTATTTCACTGATTTAGCTACCGCCTGAGTGATGCAGATGATTAAATTTTTTACAAGAGTAAAATATATTTATTTGAAATGGGAAGAGTGCATTTTACTGTATTTTGCATACTATGTGTATTTGTCAGGTGATGGAAAGAAAATACAAGTGTCAATAAATATTTTCTAGAGAGTAACAATTATCTGTGGCCAACTGTCGTACACTACAAGCACAGTCACCATTTGAGAAAATGCTCCTGGGTAGAAAACTGGCAAGAAGAAATCATGGATTAAAATATTACAATGATTTCCAGACTCTAAAGTGACTCCAACACCCACAGATGCCTAGGTTCTCATCGCATTTGTTTTTGTGTGGAAGTTGAGAACCATAGCTCAACCACACGCCTTTCTCTGTTACTTTATCTTCTCAGTGAATCCCTACTTTCGTTCCTGTAGCTATTATTAATGGTTACAATGAAATCAGTCTAAAGCATACAATATTTAAAATTAAGTGACAGACTTCAATCGTCCATAGATTACATTACTTTGAAAAGGGAATTACACGTTCAATCAGTTTTAAAAGTCCCCTTTTTGACGCTTCCCCAGCCCTAAAATTTCTCACGATTTTGCCTGGAATACTCGCCTGATGGAGATAGTCATGGCTGGCATTTGGATTGTCTGGGTAACGGCCAAGGGCGATGGCTGCCCTCTCCTTCCCTTTGCCGCGTCGCCTCTCCCGATGCCCAGGTTAATCGTGCCTCCTCTCCAACCCCTCGGTTTCCCTTTTGCGGCATCTCACAAGACAGAAAATGAACAAGCATCTATTGTGGTGAGCTCCAGGAAAAAATACCCTTGAATTATAAAATATCAGTTGATTTCTGTGTTTTCAGGCTTCCGGAAGTTTGATCTATTACCTGATTTACTACCCTCTAAAATAGTCCTCATAAATTTAGACAATCAACCTATACACGATAGACTTGGCTTAATGGGAACAAATGATATTTATAGCAGTGGTCCACAAAGGCCTCTTATGGTCGCAGTGCACCTGGAATAATAAAACTAAGGGACTCTAAACAGTGTACTTACTGCAGGAGAGCAGAGGGAGTTCACTGTTTGGGTACATTGCAAATAAAGTCTCTAACTGTGGCTTGGGGAATTTTTTTAAAAAGCTTTCTTTGGTAAAATCACCATTTTATAAAAATACAAATTCAGGAAGATTCTTTTCAGACTGGTTAACAGTCAGCGTGCTCCGGACACTTCGTCCTGCAATGAGATCTGATCTCTGTGCTCGAGCCCCGGGAAGTCTGGGTGACAGACGGGCAATACCCAACAAGCCAGGTAAGCATGGGTCTTTGTGTGCTTTCTTACTAACCTTTCAGTGTATAGTTCACATCACAAGTGGTGAAAAAAGGTGAACTTGCCCTTGATAGATTAGTAAATAAGCACAAGTATACCCGTGCTTCCCCCACTGACTGCTGATTGGGTATTTCCACACTGGTGAGAGACAGGTAAAAATGAATACAAGTGGGGCCTAGTTAGGATTAAGAGCCCCATGAACGGAATCAAGACTGCTGTGCTGAGGAGCTGACCTTCAAACTGGGTCAGAAAGGAGGAGGGGACTATCCCAGAAGCCACCACTGTAAAAAGTACACATTATCTTTGGGGCTTTGGCCCCTTGCTCAGTGTGGCTTGACAGACCTCAGAACACTTGAAGAGACACCTTAGGGAAGGAAATGGGTGACATTTGCATTTTGGGGCGGCCTCCTTTAGTTTCAATGGGGAGTCACTGAGGTTTTCCGCATGAGAAAGAATTTGTGTTTCAGAAAGTGAATGGGATTAGCTCTGAGAAGCTGGATGCAGGGAGACAGGGACACCCATTCCAGGACTCCCAAGAGCACATCATTTCCCGCATAGCCCAGGCAAATGGAGCCCTGTGGAGCTGCAGTACACAGGGGCCCCTGCCCAGAGGCCAGCTCTATCACCATTGCAATGGTCCTGGAGAGGACAATGGCCATCAAGAAAACCAAAGAAGGTAAAATATCACAACAGGGTGGATCCACAAAAATTGGCAGCAGATTGGCCTTGGGGAGCGTGGGACAAGAAATGAAAACTGCGATCTAGATTTGATACCTGGTAAACTGGCAATGGCATTAACCTAGATAGAAGACTGGAGAGGGAGCCGTCGTGCGGGAGGGTCATTCATTTGGTTTGGGACACAGTGAGTTGGCGTTGCCTGCAGGACTGGCAGATGGAGATGTCTACAGGCGGCTGTAAATTCCAGTCTGGAGCTCTGGAGAGTTCACTGTCCTGCCTGAGAGTTTTTATGCATTGCTTTCCGAGCTTAGGAAGCCTGACAGAAAATGGGCTGAGAACCAAATGTTTATGTGGAGAATCTTAAGCAGGATGCTACCAGAGTTTCCTTTTGTCTGCGCTTCCACCCCTGCTGATGAGCCAAGGGAGGTAAAGAAAGGAGAAACACATACACCATGGAATCTTCTATGCCAAAGGAGTCGCCTCTTAAAAACAATACCACCAACTGCAGTTCTGCTTCCCTCACGCCCTTTGCTTCCTCTCCTCCAGCGCTTCCCAAGTGGGTTCCTCTTCCTGAGTTCATTTTTTTTCTTTCATTTTTTCTGCACACCCTAGAAACATGCATGGACAGATCTTTGCTGGCATCTTGAAAGCTTTGATTCATTTATTTTCCGTTCCACTGTGTTACTGCTGGTGTCCCTGGGTGGCATAAAGGATTGACGTACTCCATAGCGAACTGAAAGGCTGATGGTTCAAGTCTCCCTGGGAGCAGCTCAGAAGAAAGGCCTAATGATCAGCCACTGACCGCTTTAGGGAGCCAAGTGCTACTACTCAGAGAAGGGTCCTAGTTGGCTTAAGGTTCTGTGTTAGGGTTCTCTAGAGAAACAAAACCAGGATACTTCTGATATATGTATAGATATACATGTATGTATATATACATATACATAAATATATGCATATGTATATATATATATATACAGCACAAAGGAATATAACAGCTAATTAGTCCACACAGCAGTCAGTACAGAGGGCTCAGTTCAACTCCCTTCCATGAAACAGTTTATATACTAGAAGTCCTTCAACTCACAAGGGCTGCTGCTGGGTCCACGGTCAAGGAAGCAGACAGCTGAGTCTTCCGCAGAGCAATGCAGGCAGTCCAGCCACCGGCAGCAAACAGCAGGTCGGGTCACCAACAATCCAGATGACAACATCTGACAAGCTCAAGCGATGTATACACCAGCAGTGTGGCAAAGCAGGTCTTGAAGCTCTAACAACATGATCCATAGGTTGGGTGCACAGGTAGTGTAGCTCATAAGTTGTGGCAAAGAACTCCCTAAGGCAGCCGCACATTGGTTCGATCACCAAAGAGCAAGAGAGAGACATGCAGGGCTTATAGAGCCATTTATCTCTTTGCCCTCCAATCAAACTGCGACGACCTTATTAATCCCACATATTCCTATTGCCCAGGTTGGCACAATAAACCTACCTATCTCAGCCCACTCCTTGCCAACTTGACACCTGTACACAATTCTTTAGCTATAGATAATTTTCAGACATTAATGAAATCACACGTATACCTAACATCAAATATCTATCACACATATAAATGAAAACACTGAATCTAATTGTATCTGGTCCATCATACGTGACCACAGGAAAGATTCAATAAGCACATATAAAGAAAATAAACTGACAATCACAAACCTCGCTTTTGTAATTTATCATGTGGTTGCAACTGATAGGTAGAATTACCTTTTACTATCCATTTTGTATTACCTTTGCTCTCAGCCAGCACCTCAGCTGGCCATGGTTGCTTGCCTGGTAGATGACCCAGACCTTCATTCGTGAGGGGTCTGGGTCCTTACATGTCCTGTCAGAATTGGGTTGCTGTAACTTACCATGTACTGTAATCACAGGGCATGGTAAAACTAAGAGACGGCCTACAGGATCTCCTGGATTCCAGACATATTCTTCGTTACCTCCATTATGTAGCTCCAGTCCATTTTCTCCTTGGTAATCAGGATCAATCACACCACTCAGTACAGTGACACCCTTCCTGACCTGTTGATCCAAAGGCATGAGAAGCCCAAAGTGGCCAGGGAGCATTCTCAGCTGCAAGCTCAGTGGAATCCGTGTTGTGTTTCCGGGTGGGAGAGTTCCTTCCTTCTGGACCAGGACCTCCAGGCCTGAGGAACATGGTTGTTGGGACAGGAAGCAAAAATGCTGCAAGTGGATCACTAGGAGTAATAGGGAGTGGTGCCACTGCAGCTTCTACCCCTTGGTTCCTGGACCCATGAATTCTGGCTATTGAAGACACAGCACCATATATTGGTCGTTGGTTTAGCGCGTATACAGTCTTCTGGGGAACATTGCCCCAGTCCCGCAAGTTGTTGCCACCTAGCTGGTGCCGTAATTGTGTCTTTAGGAGCCCATTCCATTGTTCTATC